ACAAATGTATCATACGAACCATGGAATTCTGGCAAACTCAAGCGAGGCAATTTGAGATTTGTGACTGAATCCACTTGACAGTTTTCGTGTACACCTGTTTGAAGAAATTGATTACTACCCTCTGGTGAGGAAGTCGTGCCTATTTTAACATTACTTATTAAATCGTTTCGCAAGCGACATGTTTTCGAAAAACGAATTTTCAATCTGATCGCGATCAGCTGATTCGTTTTGATCAAGCAATTCTAACTGATTTTGAATGATATTATATTCCTGAAAATCGGATTGAATTTTATTCAATCGTAACTGTAACTGCGTGATATCTTTCCTGTTCTCTGGTTTATTGAGAAAGGTAACAAATCGTGTTAATGATGCCTTTATAATAGCCCGTGAATGTCGTAATGATGTTATTTCTTTTCCTGGCTCCATCATGAATATATTCAAATGAAATTGTTCTGCGTAAATAATAAATCTATCTAAAAAAAATCAAATGTTACGTATTTGGAATGAATTAAAATGTGCAAAAAGAATATGATAATATGAGAACATAAACATACAATAAATCGAGATATGTCTCGTTTACCGGAATCCAATTGAAGCAGATCACAACTGGAAACTCACTGTCGATTCTTAGATTGTTAATGTCACCTTCTATCCACGGCATGCAAATTGATTTTCCATGCGTTACTGCTGCAATATTTCTTACGAATTCCAAACTGTATCCACTTGCGAATGATGATAGGTACTGATTGATGATCTTGCTGGTGTCGCACTATATCCGGCTCGAAGGACCAAAATTATGTATTGTTTGTTGTGTCTCGAAGGACCACTCCAATTAAGGAGAATAATATCAAATTTGTTGAATTAAATGAACTGTATTGAAATTTTTAATGGTACGTTGTGACATTTCTATTTGTATTCAAAATAACAAACTCTAATAATGAATACTAGATTAAAATTAGTGCAAAATTGCACAGTTGGTCCAATGAAAATAAAATAAGGCTGTACCGTTCGCCCCTTTTGCTATGCTGCATCTGCCTTTTTCTTCATTTCAGAGTCGACATCTTCCGCATGCTGATAATATAAAATCAACAATGTAAAGAAATGCTATAATAGTTACCAAAAGTACCTTCACATGTAGAAATATTCCATGCGTGCTTTCCAAGGTAGAGAACTCCCAAGTACTTTTACCCACTCTAGATTTTCCTGTAGGGGGCACAAATTGGTTCAGGAGATACAACTGAGCAGGAACATTATTATCACCTGTAAACAAAAAAAAGGAATAACAGCCTTTGATTATAATAATTTCTTGTTGATTGTGTAATGTTGTACAATGGTACCAAATTATTAAGTTTTTTTTATCACAGCTCCCTTTCATATAAAGTGTCAAACATTCAATAAAAATCTTACCTCCCTTCGCCACAATGTCGATTAATTCTAATACATAAAGATCTCGTAATTCATTTTTTGGTTTCAGTATCAAATTTGTTATAAATGTCTGCCAGTGTATATATTGTTGTGCAACCCCACTGAGTTGCACTGCGAATTTTTTGTGTAGGACTTATGACGAAATAATGGAAAGAATGAAGTTCGGATTGAAGTTACGTTTTATTTCGTACACATTCATTAGGTAATATCTTCCACACACAGGTTACATGCAGGTTACAAGTTTTACGTTTTTACCATTTCGAAGTTTAAGATGGACTGCCTTTAACATAATCACCTTACCTTTAGTTTGAATTAATGGAAAGTAGTTTCAATAAAGTAATTATAGTCATTTGTAAAATGGTATAGTGTGATTACATAGGACAGTCCTCTATCCTACTTTCTAGTATAATTCCAGAAAATGCTGAAAGTCTTATCTTAGCTGAAACAGGTTCGTAACAATATACATCACTAGTTATCAAGGAAATCAAATATTAAGTTAGATATCAAAGCGATTAAATGTGAAGATTTCTAGGGAAATCTAGTGCATTAAAGGCACTTCCCATAGTCAACTGTATGCAGGTGCGATAGGTGGATAAACCGTGTGAAGCGCGGTTTATCACAATATAATGTAACGTGATTTATAAATTCGGGTTCGATTTATATCAATATTTATTAAACAAAACTAAAACACTATAAAAACCATACAATTCTGCTGTGTTAAGACCAAGTGTCATATCTGCAGTTTTGCACGTTTTCCAGCTAAGGGTATAATCGTAATTATTACACCAAAATACATGTTTTTTGTTAAGCAAGTTTTGTCGTAAGTGCATTCCATACCTCACAAAAGTAAATTTAATTTTTGTCGTAACTACGAAATCACCATATATGTTAGAGAACATTGGCGTATCTGACATTGTGACATGAAAATGTCGTATCTACATCAGTACCTGTAGATACGACAATCATCGTTAACACAACTCAATAGTTATGTTGTTCCGCTTGTTAGAGTTAATGATCGTAAGTACAAATCGCATGCGCATTTTGATGATAAACAGCCGGTTTTCTGAAGTTCATAACCTCACATTCAGTTAGTAAGGTGTTCCGTGATTATTTATTTACTTTAATATACTATTGTATGTAATTATTGCAGATTTGATATCATGAATCGTACTAAAAAGATACTCTCAATGGCATTAAATAAGGAATTGTCTGAAAAAATTAATAATTACAGAAAAAGTGCACCTAAAAAAGAAAAGATTGTAGAAGATAAAGATTATTTTCCGTACATAGAGACAAAAACGAATAAAATAGTTGTTTTAAGTGACATTCTCATTAATCCCTCGAATATTGAGAAAGAACCTGTAATAGCAACTGCAGACAATTCTTCTTGTCCTTCATTAAACTCGGATACGGAAAGTTTTAGTTGCAAAATTGCTAGGGAAATGTATGAAACAATTTTAGACAAAGTTTTTGACAATGTTAAATTATCCCCCTTTCAAGACAGTAACAAACCAACAGTCACCATTATTGAATCAATTGTAGAGGATAGTGTAGAAAGCTCTGTTAAAGTAACTAATTTAGGGTATACAAAGAAAGGCGAAGTTAGAAAACGGAAACAATACGAAGCATCTCTAGAAGAACGAAAGAAGGTGAAAATAGATAATCATGTAGCGGCAAAATGTGTGTCAAATCTTGTAAAAAAATAGATACAGAAAGACGACAAAGTATTAATAATCAGTTTTGGAAGATGACTAAGAGTGAACAACAAGCCTTTACCGTTAGCCACATTAGTCAAAATTGTCCAAAACGCAGAACTGTACTGGTATCAAAATCTTTACGCTCACGTAGGTCTAAAACAATACACTACCTTCTGTCGGACGAAAAAGGAGTGTCGCACGAAGTATGTAAATCCTTTTTCTTGGGAACGTTAGGTTATGAGCTTAAGAATGACAGAATAATAAGAAACGCAGCATCAGTTCTCGAATCTGGTGGTATTAAACCACCACCAAGTAAGAAAAACAAAAATCGTTCTCAAAAACTCGACCGAAATGTAATTATTGACCACATAAATTCTTTTAACCCGACCGTTGCACACTATAGACGCGAGCATGCCCCAAAACGTCGCTACCTCCCCAATGACATCACCATCAAATTGATGTATGAGGACTTTAAAATTAAACATCCGCACATACATTTTTCATACTATTTGTACAGGGAAGTAGTGGCGGCTCAAAACATTTCTTTTGCTAAACTTGGGCATGAAGAGTGCTGGTCATGCGAGGAATTCATTACTCATACGAAAAAAGAAGGCCACACAAAAGAAAATTTAGTGTTAGAATGCAAAAGTTGTGAAATCTTCAACAAACACCTACTAAAATATAGAAACGCTCGCAAAGAATACCAACACGACGCTGAGACTGCAGATACCGACAAGTATGTTTTTACCGCAGATTTACAAAAGGTAACAACCAATTATCTTAAATTTTCCAATATTTTGATTATTTTTGTTATTCCAGGTGATTATGTTGCCTCGATGCGACACATTTAAAGAGATGTTGTTCACCCCACGGATAATAGCATTTAACGAGAGCTTTGTACCTGCAGTGTCAAAAAGTAGGCAAAAGATGTGGAAACAACTGCGGTATTATGGCACGAAGCCATAAGTGGGCGTTCTAAAGAAGACCTTATCAGTACGTTTTATACCTTTCTTTCTTCAGTTCGAGATGCAGAATACATTATTCTTTGGCTTGACAACTGCAGCGCGCAAAATAAAAACTGGTGCCTTTATTCATTCTTTATCTACTTTATAAACTCGTCTGAAACTGCGCTCAAGTTGTTGGAAATAAAATATTTTGAACCAGGGCACAGTTTTATGGCAGCTGACTCATTCCACCATATGGTGGAAAAATCATTAAAACGTATGGGAAAAAGTTTATGACTTTAATGACTTTTCAAGGGCAGTTAAAAATGCATCAAAGAAAGTGAATGTCATAGACATCGAACTTCAACATTTTTTATTATGGAAAGACCCACACATCACAACTCAAAAAAACCACCCCAAGACCTTATTTAAATGATATTGTTCAAGTCAATTTTGAAAAAGGCAGTATGTTTTTGAAATATAAAATAAATTTTGACCATCCATTCCAAACTCTAAATTTTTTAAGTGCAAAGGTAATGAAACAAGGTATTCCGAAACCAAAATCAAAAAATACCCCTAGAGGAATTACTCTTGAAAGAAAAAATAAAATTATTTCGAAGCTAACAACCATTATGCCGGAAAATCGCAAGATCTTTTGGCAGAACTTACCTGTATCAAGCCAAGATACTAGTTTGAGCGACAATGATGAGTCATAACTCATTAGTGTGAAGCAGCGAATTGTGTTTTATTCATGATAAGTAGGTTTATTAGTAGTTTAATGGCATGTTAGAATGTGTACTCATTTATTTGACGTTGGTCAAATGTATTCCACACACTATTCCACGGATGCCATCCTTATCCTTCGACAGAATTGTTTGTCCTCGGTACATCATCTAGTGTTATTTGGTAAACACTCCACATCGAAAAGTTGTAACAGTTTTATTATTATATCAACATTTTGTTCGTATTTCCATTTCAATCACCCTGTTTATAACTTTTCTATTCTGTGGTAGTCACCTTTTGTAACCTTCACATTCGTTTATTTCCGTACCTGCCCGTTTTAATGTTGTATATTTCTATTATTGGTCTAAAAGCCAATTTCCGCTTTAGATAACCTATGTAATTTGATACCGTAACCATATATGGTATTGTAAGCTTCGATTGACCGCGTTATTGGTCGGAGCAAAACATCGTTGTTTCATTGGGGCCGGAAATGGAAAAATTCAGCGTGTTTTACTTGCTAACCCGAAGAGAACGGTCGTGCGGTTCATCCTGATTTAAGTGCTAATTTAGTTCCTGTTCATTTGTTTTCAACAATTTGGCGAAAGCATCTTTAAAAAAACAAGTGAACCATCATTGTACCTGCCATTTCTTTTTGGGCATGGTAACCATTTAATCCGAAAGGAGTTCTTCTAAAGGAACGTAAGCATTTGTAAGTTCTCTGTGTGTTCGAATCCACACTACCGTTATTTCTATTTTAGGGGACCATTCTGACAACGATCGTAGGATAACTTCCATTCACTTTCGTACGTTCACGAAGCTCTTTTATTTTCCGTTGACTCTCTCCATGTAGAGGTTCGCATTTATTCTTGTGTAAAAACGTACCACCCATTAGTTTATTATTTTAGAGTTCACGTATTGGGGTCAAGAACTACGATCAGACTGTTTACCTGTGAAACGAAACTATAGACCACATTGTGTTGCGGGTAAGGGGGCATAGGAAAGTAAATCGACTAAGTACTGGAGTGCAGTGTGTCCGATCTAGCATCAAACCATTGAAATAACTTAATGGCCGAGTCGTACATATCTTGAAGCCGCTACCTTGCTTCCGATACTTTGTGTAACACTTAGAGCAGCATTTGTCATTCAACGTGCAACCATATACCAGGACCTGTGGAAAAGAAGACCTAAACATTGATCGTACGGTGATGTAGCATTGTTAAACCTTTTTGTAAATTTGTGTGTTTGCATTTGACCCACCTCGGTGGTGATCAATTGATAATTGGCCTGCATAGAGCCAAGATTATTACTGTTAATTGGTAAGCTTGACATTTTTGGGGTACAATATTTTAGCTAGTCCAAAGATTACTCTCGTTATGGAGTGATAACAATTTATGTAAGGTACGAACGAGCTCGTAAGAACCGAATAATTTCATTGCCCACTCAAGCTATAAATTAAGGTATCTATTTTCAATTTAATTCATTATTTTGCCACTATAACGATATTTGTGTGTTAACTCCAGAGATTCTGGTGTATTTTATTCAACATTTTATGGGAAATTTTATGTAAACCCCTTCTTTTGTTAACTTTGGGAGGATTCATATTTTTAGTTGCTGCTTACCTTAAATAAGATTATGAATTCCCAGTGGGGAATCTAGGTTGTGCAATTTTGAATTTATTTCATGGTGCAGTGCACCGAATAAAACTTTTTATTTGTGGGTCATTAGTTGCCTATTTTAAAGCTAAAGCTACCTTTCCTAGTTCCGGTAGTGTAGGCGAAACTTAAATTGGAATTAGGTGGCGCCCAGGAAATTTACAAGAAGCCACAAAAGTAAGTAGTGAAGATTTATTTGGAATCGATGATATATGATGAGCCATTACCAAAGGTATTAATTCTGTCACCCACTACCCTGTGTATTTGTCTTGCTCTCTCCGCTGTTTACTATTTGGTCAACAGAGCTAGCTGGCCGGTCAGCGGCGTGTGTTTTTTTTTTTTATTATTAAAGCACATGGTATTTTGTAGCGCCTAGCATTTTGCAGCTTGCGCGTTATAAAAATTGGCGCCTCAACTAAAGTGGCCTGGTTTGTCATTGAAATTTTCATTATAAAAATTGGCTCTTCAACTTTAGTGGCCTTGGTTTTGAATTAATTTTAACATTTGTTTTTGTGTAACCATAAAAAGGTGGAGAATTATAAACAATTGGCAATCGCTTCAAGTAAGATTTTAATCACTTTTAATTTGTACAATTTTTTACTCAACTTTTGAATTTGAACTCGATCCAAAGAAGTCTGAACCTACTGTACTTCTGTTTTCATTGTGTGACTTAGTTCACTTTTATTATATGGTGTATTTGTATTAGGTGTTATTACCTAATCATTATTATCATTGTTTTTGAATATTATAAATTACTATGATGGCGATGGACATTAATCGCTTACGAGACACTGAACTGCAGTATGAAGTCGAAATCAGGGGTGGTCAAGTAGGGTCAACTGTCACTGAAAGTAGGAACATCCTTAGGAAGCTCTTAGAGTTGGAGAAAGCACCTGGCTATGTCGCTCCGATATATCCCTTCTCTTTTGATGACGATTTGGTAGCTTTAACAGAGCTAGCCCATAATTTACAAACTCGTATCGACTCTTTTGAAGATGCTTATGGGGGTGGTTCTTACCTCTCAATTGTAACTATGTTTGCACATGCCGACAGACGCTTACACCGGACTCGAACATTACTGACCCTGACTCCTGAACAACCCCTTAAGATTTCGGAATTAGTTACTGTTTTTCGTCAACTTCGGGCATCGTTAGATAACAAAGCCTTCCGCTTCAACGATACTATTTTATTACCATCTGCTGCACCTATTACTACTTCAACACCTACTCGAACTACTGCAGAGGTGCACCCTAAATTATCTGTTCATAGCACTCCTGTGCACAAATGGGGAATTAAATTTTCGGGAGATAGTAAAGGGGAGACTTTGAACTCTTTCTTGGACAGGGTGGAACGTATGGCTCGCGCGCGCGGGGTTGATACCTTAACACTCTTCGAAACCGCCTACGATTTATTCGATGGAATTGCAAGTACTTGGTATAATGTCAACTCTTACCGAGCGACGTCATGGGAACACCTGACCCAATTATTGAGGGACGCTTTCTTACCCCCTCATTATCAAGAGGATTTACTGGATGAAATTAAGGCAAGAATCCAGGGACCCAACGAAAAAGTCGATATTTATTTTGCCGTAATGCAGGGACTTTTTGCTAGATTATTAAATCCACCCACCGAACGCGAACAAACGCGAATTATTCGTCGAAACCTTTTGCCCTTTTACCTTACGAAACTTGGACCAAATGTACCGGACACTCTGGACGGACTTTTGCTTGAATGCCATCGTTTTGACGCTATTAGACAAGATTTAGCTCGACACGACGCTTTACGTACTCAGACTCGTTTACCATTATTGGAGCCAGGTTTTAGCTGCCCCAATCAACGACCTACCACCTCACGTTTTCCTATTCACTCAATGGAAACGCGTGAGTCACCATGTTTCAATTGTCAACGATTAGGACATAACCGTGTGGATTGCCCGGAACCCAAACAATTGTTCTGCTATAAATGTGGAACCACTGGGGTTACTATTCGTTCATGTACATTCTGTTCGGGAAACGGACCACGAAACGCTCGTTAGGTTGTCGCGAGGTTTCGGAGGTTCCGACAACCAAATTTTTGAAATCTTCTTCCAAACCCAAATTAGACTTTTTACTTCAACATGTCAATAACGATTTAAGACCTTATGTTAAACTCACCATATTAAACCTTCCTTTAATAGGATTGTTAGATTCCGGCGCTTCGCGCTCATTTATTAATCAAGACCTTTGCTTTAAATTACAACAACTTAATTTAAAATTTGTGGAACAACTTACTTCGTGTACCGTTGCTAATAGTGTTGATGCACAGTCCATCGGTTACATCATAGCTCCGTTAACTTTAAAAGATAGGACCGTGATATTAAATTTGCTTGTTATGCCTTCTTTAACTACCGACTTGATCCTTGGAATTGATTTCTGGGATAGGATGGGAATTATTCCCAACGTTTCTGACGATTGTTGGCATTTTGTTGCTACAACTCCAACAACTGTACCGAGCTTGGCTATTATCGACCAACCACATCTTACTGCTGAGCAACAGAAATCCTTAGCTATCCTCCTTGATCAGAAATTCGAAGCCATGGGGACCCAGTTAGGTGTCACTACAGTGGGGAAACATGAGATACGCCTTGTCGAGGGTGCGACACCCCTTAAACAACGCTATTACCCCGTTAACCCTATTAAACAAAAGATTATCAACACCTGCATCGATGAGATGTTGAGAGACCACGTCATAGAACCATCTAATAGTCCGTGGGCTTCACCTGTATGTTTAATCCCGAAGAAAGATAATACCTATCGCTTCTGCGTGGATTATCGCAAGCTTAATTCTTTGACTGTGAAAGACTCATTTCCTCTTCCCTATATTTCTACCATTCTTGACCAACTTCGAGACGCTCGCTACCTTAGTTCGCTCGACATCAAGGCGGCCTACTGGCAAGTCGAGGTGACCGAATCTTCCCGACCTTATACGGCCTTCACTGTGCCTGGGCGAGGACTTTTTCAGTTTCGTCGTATGCCCTTCGGTCTCACCAACGCCCCAGCCACCTTCCAACGCATAATCGACACCGTGTTAGGACCCGAACTGCAACCTAATGTCCTCGTATATTTGGACGATGTCATCATCGTTTCCCAGGACTTCGATTCGCATCTGCGAATTTTGCAAACCGTCTTCGATAAACTACGTGCTGCAGGGTTCATTCTTAACAAGGACAAATGTCATTTTTGCCGTTCTGAGCTGAAATACCTAGGGTATGTGGTCGACGCTCATGGATTGCATCCGGACCCAGACAAAGTAAAAGCTATTCTCAATATTACCTCTCCTACTAATCTTCAGGAAGTTAGACGTTTCTTAGGTACCTGTAGTTGGTACAGAAGATTTATACCGGAATTTTCAACTATTGTATCACCTTTAACCCGACTTCTTAAGAAGGATGTTAAATTCGATTGGACTTCAGAATGTGAAGAAGCCTTTGTGCAATTAAAACAACTTTTAGCTACTGCACCCATACTTCACTGTCCTGACTTCACCAAATCTTTCATTTTACAGACCGACGCTTCAGCCTATGGTCTAGGCGCCGTTTTAACTCAGACTTTTCCCGATGGAGAACGAGTGATTTGTTATTTGTCTCGATCCTTGTCCCATGCGGAACGTAACTATAGCACCACTGAACGCGAGTGTTTAGCTGTCATTTGGGGAGTGGAGCAACTTCGCCACTACCTCGAGGGAGTTTCATTTACCGTGGTAACCGACCACCATTCTCTCCTATGGCTTCATTCTCTTAAAGATCCCCAGGGACGCTTAGCACGCTGGGCACTTCGTCTTCAACCGTACACGTTTACCCTTGTACATCGTAAAGGTAAGGACAATGTGGTACCTGATCTCTTATCACGCACCGTACCCATCGTCGATGCTATTACCCCTTCGGACGAAACTGTCAATCCCGAAGAATTTCGTAACTCCACCGACCCTTGGTACCGTGGTATGTTTGATCGACTGGAACTACATCCGCAGAAATACCCTGGATGGAATACGAGGAATGGTCTACTGTACAAGTACGTTCAAACCGCTTCGGACCCCCGAGACTATGAAAAATGGAAACTCGTTGTTCCCAATAATTTTCGCCGTGCCATTATACGAGAATGCCACAACAATGTCACATCTGGACACTTCGGAGTGTATAAAACTTTCTGGCGTATTCACCAACGTTACTATTGGCCCAGAATGCTTCTTGACACCAAACGTTTTATTAGACGCTGTTCCACTTGTGCGGAACAGAAGCCTGAACAACTACGACCTGCTGGTCTTATGGGATCTCCCCCTAGGATTTACGAGCCTTGGCAAATGATCAGTTTAGACTTCATTGGTCCCTTACCACGTTCTACTCAGGGACGCACTCACCTTTTGGTTGTCTCTGATTATTTGAGTAAGTTTGTACTTCTTTTCCCCGTAAGGACTGCGAATGCCCAAACTTTGGTCAAGTGCATTGAAGAGTCCGTGTTTCTTGTGTATGGAGTACCTCAACATATTATTTGCGACAACGGTGTGCAAATGCGCAGCCGTCTTTTTATGAACCTTTGTGACCGTTATCATGTTAAAGTCCGTTTTACACCCTTTTATCACCCTCAAGCCGATCCTGCGGAACGTGTGAACCGGGTGGTAAAGCAACTCATTTCCACTTATATTAAGGACAATCATCGACATTGGGATGTCAATTTAGCTTCGATTGCCTGTGCCATTAGAACCTCTAAACACGAAACCATTGGTGTTACTCCCTACCGTGCTAATTTTGGGAAAGAATTTCGTATTCGAGGGGACAGCTTCGACACTGACTTGACTGACAATGAACCAATTGATGTTGAACAACGACTAGCCCAACAACAACAACTTTACACTAAAATAGTCGAACGGATTAGGAATACTCATGACCGAAACAAGCGAACCTATGACTTACGACGAAGGCATGTAACTTATGAGATTGGAGATCAGGTCTGGCGTAAAAACAAGTCTATTTCAGACGCCACTAAGGATTATTCTGCTAAATTAGCTCCTCGATTTTTAGGACCCTTTACGAT